ACAGGTTCTATGTAAACTATAAAAATAATACATTTATTTCTTCTTTGCACTAAAAATTCAGAAATAAGGCCAAGAAAATTGTTAGATTCTTATGAAATCTGATACCTTTTAACTAGATCTTTTGCAGTCATTTCTACTAAGTTACAAACCAGAGAAGTTAGTTGATACCAAGCAGAAAGGAAAATATTTAAACTAAAATAAAACAGAGCTTTTCTTCTGGCTGAAGCATTTTTTGAAATAAGTTTTTGTAACTGTGCAGATACTTCTGATTCTGCTTACATTTTTAAAATATGTAGCTGTTCCTTTCAATGCTAGCAACATCATGTACGGTCTCTCTCTAAATTAATATGTGCAGATTACTTTTCCACCTGTTCAAAAGTGACCTGTGAGTAGAAGGATGCCATTTCTATTTGATGTTATAAGCAAAAACATCATTCTACTGAAATATTTATTTCCAGGGGTGAAAAAAAATATTAAAATTAGTTTCATTCCAGTTCCTAGAAGTTGAAATTTTAGATTGCAATATCATATTTGGCATGGACTGGCATATTTGTTGGCACAAACTGGGGGTTTAATGAGGCTTAAGAGAGTCTTACAGTCTCCTTAACTAGAAGCTGATGTCAAGCCTACTGCTAGATGTACACAAGCCCTGTTGTTTGTGGACCCCATGCACTGTGAGGGAATAAAAGAAAACAGCATTGTATTGTTGACTTCCAAATCGCTAAGGCTACATAAAATCCATGTTGATTTGGGCAGCAGAGGTGCCTCAGGAAATGTAGCTCATCCTTCTGGAAAGCTATGTTTGTCCCCTTCACTGTGTGTGTGAACCTGGGTTGCTGTGCTTTACTCCCCTCTTTTTCTGAGGCACGTCCACCGAGTCTCCGCCTCTGCTCCGAACTTCTCCTTAAACAGCCTTCTGAGACTGAATCCTTATGCCAGCAGGAAAGAAGAGGAAAACATATTATTTCTTGTACTTTACCACAGGGGATCCTAGATTAAAAGCTTGACAGAGCATCCTAGATTTGCTCGGAGAAGCCCTGCCAGGCTGGAAAGCCAGGGATGGTATAGCGCAGAGATGACTGCGTGCACTCTCTCACGTATCGTAGTTTATCCACAGCTTATGTGTGGATAAACTCAGTGCTTTGAACTTGGGCTGGGGATGCTTGCATACCACGGCTGTAGCTTACCAAACTCTGCAGTATAATTTCTTGATTATTTTGAACTTTTCAGTAACAAGTGGTTATGTGGGTCTGCAAATAGGAAAAAGTCGTATTTTGGGAAGATCCTGCTAAAAATTGTATTGGTTTCAGTAACATAGATATCAAACATCCATATTGGGATAAGATGTCTACCAAGGAAGTCACTTGTATTAGGGTCTTATCTTACATATTAGGGATTATTATATCCCTTATGTTAGGAAAGTCAGGCTGTGTTTTCAGCATTGTGTCACCAGTGAATTTGAATTAAGGAGTGATGAAAGACTGATGCTGAGTGATTAAATAAGACATTCAGAGGACAACCTGATGAGTGAATCTAGCTCATACACGTGTGCAGATTGGACAATTTGGGTATAACAGGCTGTGTTTGTCAGTGGAGGAGATTTCTCCACCTTCCTGGATTTCCAGTCTCTGATAGCTGGCCAAGACAATGAGTTTTGAGTGTTACAAAGGCTTTTGTGATGTTACACAAATATTTTGGTTTTCTCCTGTGAGAACACAATTTAAAAAAAAAATAAAATAAAAATACCTGCATAACTTTTTTTGTGTTGGATTAGAAGGTTAATTAAAGAGTAGCTTTTAAACTGCCTGTCAGTAAGCTGTACACGGTGTACAGAGAAAGCTCCCAGTCATTGGGATCTCCAAAATGTGCAGTTCAATAATAATAATAATAGTTCTGGGGAGACAGTTAGTTCACTGAAGCTTTTGTTTTCGTTAAAAGAGACAAGAGCTATATAACCTGTCCTCTAAGATCAGATTTCTGACACTAGGAATCAGGTTGGTATTGGCTTTATCACTGAGGAAAGCCAAAACTAAATTCACTGACTGATGAAAAAAGGGTAAACAAAGATTATTCTTGTATCATTAAGAATGACAGTTATTTGCATATGGAATATATTATATTCTCTTTTTTTACTGCCAAAGTTGTTAATATTCAGAGAGAGCTGTCCACAACATTGTTCTCCGTACAGAGTTTACTGCCTTGAATGTTTGGTTAAATTCCCAAACCATGGAGTAGAGTTTATTTGAAGGTTAGTAAATGCTTACATCATTTTTTTACAAAAACTTTTGGAGGTAAAAAGGAACGTGGAAGACCTTACAGCATCTTTCCAGACACTGCTCGTTCCAAGTAAAAACACTCAGATAGCAAATCTTTAAAAAATCAAATTTTCTTGGGTGATTGTGTGGCAAATTTTGTTAAATGAAAAGAAAACTTGATCAATTATAAATTCCCTCCCTGCTTACTTGAGTAGCCCTAAGAGGCTAATAAGCTGTAAGCTTCGGCGGAAAGAAATAAAACTAATAAATCCATATGAACATGTTTGTTTCAGGGCTTTCCTTCTCTCTTATGAATGGCATTGAGTTTACATGGTCTAGTGATATGTCATAAGGTATTTTCCTCATCAGCATCTTGGTGGAGACAAATTACCCTCCAGATGCCTTAGAAAGAATAATACCATTGCAAAGAAATTAAAAGTCCAGGAAAAGAATAGATTTTAATAAATGAAAGTGGTGGAAATCAAATATCTGTAGCTATTTTTGTCTCTCCCTTAAGAACAACCATGATGATCTCTATCATCTTTTATGTCAATCATGGTTTATTCATTGTCAGTCGTTATCAGCCACTGAAGCAGGAAGGGGGGACATTTTATTGTGCAATCACTGTGCCCACATTGACCCCGTGTTGTGCAGGAATCTGCTGCCTCTCCCGGGTTGTATCTGCTTGCCTAGGATATCAAATATACAGTTATGAGAAGGTTCAGTTTCACCTTACAGCTGCCAAATATTACAGTAAAGTTAATAAGGCCACCAGGAAAAGGGATGAGCTCTGGCTTCTCAGGCTTGTTATGAAAGATCAGTCAGAATTTCTGAGAGTGCAAAGGGACTGCATTTTAATGGCACTATGCTGGTGAGTCTCCCAGGTACCTTTGGAAATCGTAAGTAAAAGCTTACAGGGAGGATTTTTTCAAAATAAAGTAAAGCAATTGATTTTTCAAGCACTGAAGAAGGACTTCTGAAAATAATGTGGATGATTTTCATACATATTTAATGAGTACTTTTTCAGTTTAGGCTTTTAGGTGCAGACTGTAAACCTTGATTGTATATTTATCTTTTGTTGAGCAACATATGAAATAGAAATATTTTTTTGTTAATATTACCATAAATAAATACATGTAGGCATCCATTAGCTGCTGAGAGCTGTCACATGTCTAAGTGAATCCAAACATCATATCTTTCAGTAACTGAAGATATTTTTCATCCTCATTTGACACTATTTAGCAATCATGATTAAAATTAAGCAGAGTTCTGTAGCATATTTATCAGTGCAGATCATATTCTGTTAAGTATTCTTTCAATCATTAGGCCTCTAGTAGATGGATGTAAGTGCCAAGACTGCAGCCTTTGCCTGTGGCTTGTCTACAGCTTGTCAAAAATCACTTACTAAGTAATTTTCAAAGAAAAAATTATACTTCCAGCTAAGCAAGTGTTTTACAGAAAGTATATACTTTAGGCACACTTTTTTTTTTTTTAACGAAGCAAATATGCAAAAATATTTTTGTTTTGAGAATTTTGTTTTCCAAAATATCATTAGCCCATGTTAATCCTGTCATCTAAAAGGCATAGATGATTAATTTTGGATAGGACATCTACTGTTTTCTAAAAGCAACTAATAAGCAAAAACTGCTTTTAGTAAAACATAGGCTTTAGCAACAATGTCAAGCCATGTTGTCCCAGACAAACAGTTTGCAAAAGGAATGTGGACTCAGTTCTTAGATTAATGAATAAACATTATAGCAGGGCTTCATTTTTGTATGTGCAGTGTATTTGCCACCGTTCTAGAGTCACAGGGAACACAATCCAATAATAATGCTTTTGAGGTAAGAAAGCATAATTATATGTTAAACATTTGAATAACGAGAAATTGATTATTAAAGTTTTATTTTTCTCTCCTTAGCTCTTGAGAAATATCCCTTCTGTTATTACTGAAAAGAAGAATAATCTGAGTGAGAGCCAAAACATATTGGCCAAGCAAAGACAGGAAGGCTGAGCTTTCTCAAGGGCAGCAAGTAATACCTACACTGCAGATGCTTGTGCTATTCCTGTAACAGGCCTGATTCTGCGCTAGTGAGATCAAAGGATGTTTTTCACTTCACTTCATTGAAGAAAGTTTTATATGGAAAAATAGAGTTAGTTCTAAAGTTCTAATAGTTTGGTCCAAATCCCATAAACAAATACCTGAATAAAGGGACATATTTAAGTTTGACTGAATGCATTATTCTTTTTCTTTTAAATAAGCCGTACATAATGATGAAGACTTAAAAATAATTTGACCCTGAAAATGATAAAAACCTATTCTTACTGAAGCACCCTTTTAGGAAAAGAAAGTAAAGTCTTCTTACGTAGTTTTCTTTGATGTTGTGGATTTTCTGCAGTCATAAACTTCAAGATGTATTGAACACATTGATTAATTTAAAATATGATCTTCCTTAAAAGCTAAAGCTGTAAATAATTATATCCATTAAAATAAGAATTAATTAGATGAATGAATAACAGCAGTGCCTGATTTTTATGAGATATGTCTAGCTACTTAATGTAGAAGAAAATTGCATTCAAACTGGGAAAGGAAAATTTCTTTTTACTCAACCACTGCATTATTACCAAGTGTCTGATGAGGATTTTTCTTCTCTTATTGATCCCACTTGTCTTCAAAGAAAGAAATGCAGTTGTGAAGTGAGAAAGGCAACTGAACCACTTTACTAACTTGTTGTCTTTACTATTCAGAGCTGCAAGAAACAAAGACCTCCGAATATCACAGAATATCCCACAGTCCTCTGGATTACAGGATATTATTAATGGATGAAGATCAGGATCGGATCTACGTGGGCAGCAAAGATCATATTCTGTCTTTGAATATTAATAATATAAGCCAGGACCCTCTCAGTGTAAGTTCAAGATTTATTTTGAGAATCCAAATTTGCTTTACTATATGCCTTTCTTTTTAAGACAAAAAATTTCAGTATGCGTGTTCATTGTTTTGCAGCAGGCAAAAGTCCAGGCCCGCACCTTCTTGAACTGTTAGTCCTTGTTTTACGTGTAATACAAGATGAACAAACTATTAGGGTGGCTGCTCCTCAAACGCTGTTTAAAAACTGACCTGTTTACTCATTTTGAAATGACATTTAGCACGGCTTGGCCTCATAAGGAAAATTTGTATGAGTTGATGGTTTCCACTCCTCTCCAAGGTTTATGATAATTCAGAGAGACACTTTTAAAAGAAGCCTGTAAGGAAGAATAAGATACATGCTATCATTTTCAGGCCATAGGGGAACAAAAAACAGGGACAGAATTGCCTTGACTATATTTTTGGTTTGTACTCTGAAGCCTAATCGCTGAACTGTTTTTCCATCTTTGTTATGTCTGTGCCTGCCCTCGCCCTTCAGCTGGCTGGCTGATGCACCTCGTGCTCGGGGTTTGTTGGACACTGTGACCCTCATCTCCCTCTTGACGCCACCTCTTTTCTGACGGCTTCTCTCCCTTGTTGAGATGCCACTTTCTAAGGACTGGGTGCCCCACCTCCCCAGGCTGTAGTAGGCAGCCTTTATATGAAACAAATCAAATTATCAAATGTTTAAATCGCTTTCACTTTGGTCTCCAGAGCCAGTTCAAATCCAGCTTCTCTGCTTTTACAATAGGTGGCCTGGACAGAGATCCTCAGCTTGCAGCAGCAAAGTTAAACGCCTTCCTTCAGAGGCAAGGCTTTTAATGTGTCAGGGGAGAGAGGGGCCCCTCCGAAGGGTGATTAAGAGCAGTTAAATTAGGCTTTGCTCTGAATCACCCTCTGGACATGCCTGTCTACCTGGATTGATAGCACAGGGAGTGCGGGAGGCTGGCTCTGGCTTGCATATTTGAATTAAATGCCTCTGATGTGATGGCGTGAGCAAGACCTTCCTCCTCGGAATGGTGCAGAAATCTTCCTCTGGAATGGGGCCACCCGCTCGCATCTGAAACAGCCCGTGTGACCTTTTTGCTAATTCCCGTCTCACCGGTGATCCGGCCACCTGTGTCTGGGAGCTGCTGTGCTCCCGCACGGCTTCGACTCTCCCTTGGCGAGTTGCTTTTAATTCTGTACGCAGTTCGGTTGGATAGGAGGGCTTCCCTTGCCTGAAATATGTTCTGCAGGAGGAAGCTGTGGGGCATTTCAGTAGTCTGTGTAGGCCCTGAAAAATACGAGTTAAAAAGAATCAACAGAAAGCAAAAACACCCGCGATTTTCTGGCAGCGAATGTGATCACCGAATATTAGGCTTAGAATTAATCTCTGCAATTCCACACGTTCTTTCATTTGTTTATTTATCTTTGTAACTGATTCTCTTTACTGATCTTATCCCATTATGAAACTGTATATACATATGTACACATAACTACGACTCTCTGCGTATATATATATGTATATATATACACAGAGATTTTTTAATACTATTATTTATGTTATCTTGAAGTTAAATGTTATCAGGCTCTGTCACCTACAAAGTTTCTAGGGAGAAATTTCTAATAGATGTCTTTTCTGTTTCAAAATCAAAATAAATAAAGGAAGAAGCTCAATAACTTAGATTTTGAGTATAGATCAGATAAACATTCAGACATTGAGATGTTCATCAGAAAACTGTAGTGCAAGGTATCTTGGAAAGAAATCAAGAAATCAGCTTGAAATCTTGAAATTTTAAGCAGGTTTTAACATAAGATATTACAAACCTTTAAGGTTAAAACCAAATAATTTTTGCAAGAATCCTTCTTTCAATATTTTTGTCTTCTGGTTTCTAGTGTGAACAGTTTATAGAAATTCAGTAGCAGCAAAAAAGTAAAGATAAGAGTAATTTAGACAATGATGAAAATATCTTTTATTTAGAAGAAAGAAGTTTAAATAAATTGATTAACTTATCTTAAAAAATTTTAATAAAATTGATTTATACCAACCAAAGACCTGGATCTGTACTTTGTTTACTGCATGCTAAGACAGCAAGGTTTTTTTCATTTATCAATGAAAATCCTGTTTTGCCTTATAATCAAGGTGTAAAAGATATCAAAATATTGTATATAAATATGTTGCTTAAAAGATATTTCTTTCCTTGCAGATTTTCTGGCCAGCGTCAGCAAACAAGGTTGAAGAGTGCAAAATGGCTGGCAAAGATCCTACGGTAAGTTATAACCCACACGCACACGCACACACGTACACAAATTGCATACTTGGCAATAAAGCAAGAGCACCTTGAGCGCAGCCAAAAAGCAAAATGAAAGAAGTGTTTGTTTTGCTTTTTAAATGCTCTGCGGACCAAACGATAGTGAATTTATGAAAAAAAAAAAAAAACAAGCTAGGTAAATAGAATGCACCATCGGACTTTGACAGATGGAAAAAGGTATGCATTGTCCACTCCCTTGCCTTTTTTACTTGTTACTAGTCAACCTTGGTAATAGTACTTCTCCAGCTCTGTCCTGAAGATGATGCTGAAGAGCCTGCTGAGCTGTTCTTTGGTGTAGGGATACGCTCTGGCTCTCTGTTTTTTTTTGAACTCGAGGGGGGGATGGTCCCGGCTGTCTGCAGCCTGAAGACCCCAGAGTCAGGAACACCTCAAACATCTCTTTCCATTACTTCCATAAAACAGTGCCCAAATAAGTATCTGGAAACCAGTATGCTTTACTAGGAAGAGGTAAAGATGATCTTTGGAATCACAGGAAACACAGACTATGGAGAGGTTATGTTGAGTCATTTTGCACCACTGCTGATTATTCTCCCATCTAAATACAGACACCTTCCAAAGGACTTAAATCAGCTGGTCATTTCCTTATACAGTCTTTATGGACAATACATAGAAATGAATTATTTTGAAAGACCCGGTGAGGGGTACAATACAGCAGATCCTGTCTTTGGCAGAGTTGTGTATTAACATGGTTATCTTCCTGAAGTAATTTGAATTTATAGTCTGTATATGCCTAGATTTTGTTCACAGAAGACTGTTAAATTGTAAAAAGTAAAGCTGAAAGTCACATTTCAATTCTATTCAGTTACCTTTTGACTTTTCCCCAGTTCAGTAGCACCTGAAGATCTTTATCCGAGTTTTCTTTTTAGTTCCTTAGATATAGGCGTTTTCCAACTGATATTTTAGTATTAGAATTCAGAATCTAATCTGAGCTAGAAAATTACAGTTTCTCAACACTAAATTTATAAGAAAAACCAATGAAATTTGCTTATATTTGACTTTGAGAAAAGAACTATGGAAATCAGAAGCCTTCACATTTGATATAATCATCTTTGAAACATACTCAGCATATATCTAGGATCATAATTGCTGAAGTGATTGAAGGACATAAGCAGGTGTATATAACTATAGCTTTTAATTTCAGAAACAATAAAATTAATGGAGAAGTCCACTGAATTTAGTATAAAAAATGTTATTTGTTTCAAAGATCTCTATATCATGCCTAATATTTCTATTTATTTTAGCTACGCATTTTGTATTGTTAACTGAGCCTGTGATGACATGCAGATGACATACAGTTCAGTTATTGCAATGTTGCAATAATTCACCTGACCCCATTTTGTAAGAAAAATATGTGTTGGCTTTATTTTGAGAATTTATTGCAAATGCTGATGAATGTAAGGAAACCAGAAGGTTGGCCTACTGGAATGTTGCAGGAATAATTGCTTTTTCAAAACCATGGAGAGTAATTCCCTATGTTGCTACAGAGCAACAGAATGAGTCTTTATGAATAACTATATTGTGGTCAGTATGGCAGCTTATCTGCTTTCTTTCCTGGTACCTATCGTAGTGAAAACCAAGTATTTTTCCTATTGAATGTCCTATGTTTCTATACATCTTTGCATTGTTCCGGTTACTGCAGTGTGCAGTAAATTCTATAGCTAGTGGCCTGTTAAGTTGCACTAAATGTGAAAATAAAACATACAGCTTTATTAATGGTGATTAATGTTGACCCTAGTTACTGACTATGTCAACTGCATCAACTTGTGATAGACTGGTTAAGGAATTTTTTCTTTGAAATACAAAAGTTTATTAGCTTTAATCATATTTCTGACATATGATAATACTTCCAGGGCAAAAAGGGGAAAAACATAAATGATACTCTAAGCTGAAAGCAGTATGCAAAATATATGACCCGTAAGACACTACTAAGTATTGGAGTCTCCAGAGAACTTTTAATCTTGGATATTTAGTGATGAGACTTCCCTAGCTTTTAATCATATTAAAGTACTCAAACGTTGCTGCATTAGTGGACAGATTTCTGGATAGAACCTCTTATTACAGCATTTTAATTGTGGGTAAAGCTAATATTCTCTAATGTAGTTAATTAAGAATGTCCATGTGCATCAACTTTTAACTTTTTTTTATCCCAGCTGTGCATCACAGAAGAAAAATGAAGTTCCAAAAATAGAAGTTTATGTAAAGTTTCTTAGCATTTGTCCTCAAGAGTTTAAAAGAAAAAAAGTACTGAAAAGCAGCTGCTGTTCCCACTAAAATCAATGATGTGTCTTATTGAAAACTCACTGAAATAATGAGAAAAAGAGAACCCAATGCTAAATCACTGTTTGCAACTTAAAATGTGTAGTTCGGTTTTAATTGCATTCGTGTGAGTTTCATTCCTGATAATCATAGGAGAAGCAGAGAATGAATTTAGAATAATTAAGAGTTTCAAATGAAAAAAAAAAAAAGGGAACAGCGAGTGAATGCATGATAAGGTTTGACCTATCAGAGAATAACGATTATCACAAGGTAAAAGAATAGATAGACTTGGAGCAGCCAGTGAAGGACTTCGTGCAATCAGCGAATTCTTTTCCAAGGAGATTTGGGGGGAATTCATTTTCCCTGTCATTAGATAAATGTCATCTTTGGCTGCGTTTTTCATTACTGAAAAGAAATTGTCAGCTCTAAATAGTATATTCACCAAGCTAACTTGAATGCTTACATTCGTATGACATTATTTCTCTCCATTTACTGTGGTGAGACCCTAGGGCATGGATGACTGACTTTCAGATGTCTACAGTAAGGCAGTTCCCCAGACACTGTTACTGAGTGAGTTTTGGTATCAGCTCCAAGAGAAGCACTGGTAGTATGTTATTATCTATCTAGAGCTCAGCCACTGCCTTTGACAAACATCCATCCTAAAGACAACTATTTCATGACACTTCAGACCAGACTGATTTAAAAGGATAAAGTACTTCAATATCAAGGAAAGGGGAATAAACTGAAGCGGAGGCGCTTTTGAATCACAGTCCTACAAATATATTCTGAAATAACAGTTTGTTGCTTTGTTGGGTTGTAGAGTCACAGTGTAGTACCCAGATTAATTACGTAGCAAATTGCAAATGGAATTCAGTGATTCAACACTAGAGAGATGGACAAAGGCTCAGAGAAGATCATAGAATGGTCTTCCCACTGGTCAGCATTAAATTAGAATGTTGGTATTGAGCCAACTTGTGTTACTTGTCTGTAATTCATAGAATCATAGAACAGAATCACAGAGTCATAAAATAGTTTGAGTTGGAAGGGACCTTTAAAGATCATCTAGTCCAATCCCCCTTTAATGAGCAGGGACATCTTCAACTAGATCAGGTTGCTCAGAGCCCCATTCAACCTGACCTTGAATATTGAAATCAGCAGAGAAGAGACATGAAGACACAGTATGTGTCAGATGGTTACCCCGGAAGGCTGTCCTTAAAGAAAAGAGCTATTCATCCAACCATCCCTGTTTTCTTGCCAGAAACACTTTGGAAAGCATGAGGCATGGTACTGAAGCAGAGTAGCAAGTGCCATGTACCAGTACTGTTCATGTAGACATTGTTTCCTGGTCCTGATCCCTGAAGACTTTCATTCTGGGATTTCTCAGCATGTAATTGTTTATCTAAGAGTCTTCTAGAAAAATTTTCTGCAAGCAGAAAGAAAAGAAAGTATCAGTTTACACTCTGGCATATATAAGCTGGTGGTATACCTTCACCTGTCCCTCTTCCCTTTCCACAGCTGTAATGTGGATTGGTGGTACTGCTGAGGAAAGCTTGGCTTTGATAGCAGGACATTACTAAAGCCGTATTTGAGCCCAACTAAGATAACTGAGTATGAGAAAATGGAAACATTTAGGAATAACCTTCAGCTTTAGAGAAACAATATATTTTGACTGGGTTAAAGGATTTTTCTGATGTAGCTAGAGCTAACACTTAACTAAAGACATGCAATGTTCCCTGTAGAGAAACTCCTTCCATGAACTCTGAACTACCTACAATCATGTGCCAGTTTTC